GTAATTTTTATCTATTTCTTTATATTCAAGAAAAAGACCACTTGACTGCGTTATTTTTTTTCTCTGTTTTTAAAATAAATTACAACAAAATGAGTTAAGTGAAAATATTTTGATCTCTTTAACTTCGCGGATTCAAGTTGAGATGTGACATTTTTTTAGAGCTTTTTACTGTAGCAGAAAAAAATTAAATGTGACATTTTCTGATAGCTTTTTACTATAGAAATCTAAAACTGAAAACTCGAATCGGTGAAATGAACGAGACCTTTAAAATTCGTGAAGTAAAATAAAAATTTTTAAAGTTTAGAGAATAAATTAAAAATAACTTTAAAATCTATGAGGTATAAGTGATAATCCTTAATTTATTTATATTAAAAAAAAAGAGTTTTTCTCACTGGTAACGTCTTCAGTATTTTTATTTTTATTTTTTATTTTTGCTAATCAATGTCTTCAGTATCGCGTAATTTCCCATCCGCTCCCGACACCAACAGTATTAAAAAGATTCTAATCGCCGAAAGCCATATCTCTCTCTCTCTCTCTCTCACGCGCGCTGCTTTTTGCCTCCTCTTCAATTATGCCTCCTCTGCGGTGCCTTACGCGCGTGTCACGTGCGCGGCACGTGAGATGGAAGAATGCCCTGTTTTTCTTGGTCTGCACGAATGCCTCGAGCGTGTATTTCACGCGAGTCCACGGTATCCTTAATGAGTTCATGTGGTTTGGTGTTTTCCATTGAAAAAGTGCACCACATTTGATCTTAATTTCAAACGATGACCCCATTTTTAACACGTCTAATGTAAGCACTTTTTTTTTTTTTGGTTGAGATATTTTGTTGCAAAGAAGGATAGGAAAATAGAGGAAACCTTCGCCTTCACAATTTCTTATCACATTACAGGGACGTTTGTTTTTTGTATTTATTTCTGATTCTGAATTATTATTTATGATTTTTTACAGTATTTTTTCTCACAAAACACACATAAAATGAGAATAATTTTAAATTATAATTCTGAATACATGAACCAAACGTCATGTACATTGTGCAACAAAACTTATTATCACATTACCCAAACAAAAAAAAACACTTATTATAAATGGAGCTATTTAAACTCTACACTTTATAATTTAATTATGCGTGAAAATACCGTATGATTATGTGTGCAATCAGCTCATTGCATTACTTAATTATTTAATTTTAAATTTATTTAAAATGCATTTAATTATCATACCAGATGGAAATGTAAAAAGAAGGATAATACGCAAAGTAATGGGATTAGAAACACAGGCATTAAAAATAAAGAATACTAATTTTCTTTTTAGTGGTTATTTACCTATAATGCGATGCAATTGTAGACAATGGAATTATTATTTTAGTCTTTACTAAGCGTCGTATTTTTTTTTTTTTTTGTTTGTATTCAATAAACTTAGTTTTGGCAATCTTATCAAATATAATTATTAAAACATTCGTTTACATAAATAAATAAAACATTTACACATAACTTACAAATTTTTTAAGGACTTATAAGTAATTTGACTTTCATTCGCTTTAATACGAATTAATAAAAGGTTATTAGAATTTTTCGTCCTAAACTATGAGCATTGTGTCACGTTTTCTCAACAGATTATTCCACGAAATTTGATTTTTTTTTTTTTTAGTTTTAATCTTTGATGTAAATTGGAAAAACATTTCTATAATTTATTCGAGAAAATAACCTCTCAATCACATACTAACTTCAAGTTTACGAAAATAATTATATGATCTGTAAAATATTTTCTTCATTGTTGTCAAAATTCCTCATAAACTATTCAAGTTTGTACCTAAGGTGACTGTTTTCATCAAACTTTTAGTTATTATGTGATGTAGATGCGATTATCTCTATAAAATTTCATAAATCATTCATCAATTTTAATATCAAAAATTCAATTTGCTAAAAAGCCAAATTTTAAGGGCTATATGCTAAAAATAGACTTTTAGAGACTAAAGTGGCACAATACTCATATTCAGAGACTAACAATGCTAATAATCTGTTGATAAAAAAATATGTAAGAATTGACATTCACTTTGCGCATTTATCATATTATGTTGAACTTAGTAAATTCTTAAAATTTTTTAGTCACTGTAGTTCTCCTGAGAGGACCACTATAACATAACCTATCAAAATTATAAATGCAATATGATATTTGTTCAACATAACATCAATATTAGAGTGAGACAACGGCAATATGAGTATGAAATCATCAAATTTTTTGAGGCTCAACACATATGTTATATTGAATAAATATCATGTTATGATTCTTACTCTTTATATATTATGTGACAGTATAGTCCGTACTAGCTATCGCATAATACATAAAAGTTAGAAATGCAACTAACATCTATTTAATGTAACATGAATGTTTGAAAAGTGTAACAACAACATGAGATAATCAAATTAGTAACCTTTACATCACGAGTATTATATTGAATAAATATCAAGTTATGTTTCTTACTCGTATATATTACACTTTTTATATGTTATGCGGGAGTACAATTCTTCTAAAATAACCTTAAATAAGTCCACATTATTTTAATTGTATGTAAATGTACCATTAAATGAGAAAGAAAGTTACTCCTAACGTGCCATTAGTTTCGTGCAGAAAAATGCTAAGGCTTTGGATCCGATATTAGCCATCTAAGCTGGTTGATTTATTATAAGGTGTTAAAGTATAAAATTATTGTTGGCCCACTTCTTAAAAGCTTAAGTTTTTGAGATGGATTGATAAACTAACATGATATTAGAGTGGGAGTTCCTGAGTTTAAACTCCCGTAATTGCACTTTTTATCTCCATTTAAAATTGTCATCATGCGTTGGGTCTTTAATATATCTCGGCCTTAAATATTCACGTGTTGGGCTTTAATTTACCCATACGATTGTTCATTATTCAATCCACACGTGAAGATGAGTGTTAAAGTATAAAACTATTGTTAAACTATCTCTTAAAAACTTAAGTTTTTAGGATGGATTGATAAACTAAGTTATGGGTCGTATTTGGCATTTTGACTCCCACAATGATCAACAAGCAACTATTTCCCCAAGTCTTACTTTCAAAAAAAAAAAAAAAAAAAAAAAACTAGTTCTGCAAGTCCAAGTCAGCAGCTAAATATTTATTTTCTTCCCATCTTTGAAAGTCCAAAAAATTTGTACGATTTGTTCCACTGACAGTAATCCATTGCATTTAAACGTAATCATAATTTGGTACAACGCAATAGGCAATTATTCCAAAACCATTCCTCTATACGGTGATAATGATTTTTATTTATATATTTTTTAATCATATTTTTTGAGTAATGATTTAACTTTTTTAAGGAAGTAATGATTTATAAGTAATCAATATATAATAAAACAAAAAACATAAATTAGAATTAGCGGCATTCATCGGCATAATACAGTATCCAAAACGTCCTATTTTCATCAAAATTTGACGGCTCATGTGTTGGCAGTAAAAGTATTTTTATGGGTTCGTTATTCCACCCGTAAAAATCTGTTTTAATGGTTAAATTAATTTTTTAACGGCCTGATTAATAGAAAAAATAATTTTGTGTTACCCGTGTAAAGTTCTCCAATGGTAAAAAGTCACATGTAAAAATGAGCAATACCGGTTGGAATTAAGATATGTTATCCGATTTCTTGTTTCGGTGGCTATTTATTTAATTAAATTTTGACACATTGTGAATTATTTATTTATTTTTGATATTTTTTAGAGATTTTTTATGGTGTTCTCTCTTTTTTAGAAGCACCAGTATTTTTTGTTTATCAACCATCGAATTTATATTAAATCTGATCAAAAGTCAAATTAGATTAAAAAAATAATATAGATTCGACGGTTAATAATAAAACACACCGTTGTTCCTAAAAAGAGGAAAACACTAAAGAAATTCCCTATTTTTATTATTTATGTGATTAAATTTTTAAATTTAAATGAGATGTCAAATGATTACTGAAGAAACAACCACTAAAAAAAAAAAGAGAACAACATATCTAAACCCCGTTAATTTTACCGATTCAAGTTTAGAATTTGAGTTTTGCGACAATAAAAAGTTATCAGAAACAGTCACATCTAACTTTTTTGCTACAGTAAAAAGTTCTCACATAAAGTCACATAACAACTCGAATTAAAAACTCAAATCAATAAACTAAACAGACTTTAAACTCTCTCGGTTCACCTTAATTTTTCTCTCAATAAATCAAACATCTTCTTTCCCTTATGTCTTGATACATTTTCCAATTAGATATATACGTGTGTGTGTATATAGATTATGTTTATTTTACTAATTTATATTTTTAATTTTAATTTTTTTATAGTTAAAATTTTTTATAAAAGTAATATATAATTTTTTTTTGTTATAATAAAAAATTATATTTTAACTCAAATTAAAAATCTGAAGAGACCATAATCTTAAAGTAGATATTCATACAGTGAGATGGCATATTGCTATTGATAACAGCAGGAGTCGCCAAAAGCGTAACCTCACAAAAAACAGGCTGAAAAGATCGATCGGTTTACGAACTCAAATATGCAACAGGAATCGCCAAAAGCGTAACCTCACAAAAAACAGGCTGAAAAGATCGATCGGTTTACGAACTCAAATATGCAACGTGTCACTGCCACATGGCACTGTGGGCCCAGACATACCCCCACACAAAAGGCAAAAAAGGAGAGACTGGGAGGAGTATTTTAATTTTAAAGTGAAAAAAATTGAAAAAAGAAAAGCAAAATAAAGGAAAGAAATGAAAAGAAGAGTCAGACCCTCGAAACGAAGGCCCACCCAACCTCAACAAACAACGAAGAAGAAAAAACGAATAACGGGAATCTACTCCAACTTCACCACCACACGAAAAAATACCACCTCTCTCTTTCTCTCTCCCCTTTTATTTTCTTTTTATTTATGTATAGAATATAAATATTATTATTCTCTCTCACATTTATAAGACCCGATTTTGTTAGTCTCCTCTCCTCTCCATTTTCAACTTCTCTCATTCATCCGCCACCCTCTTCTCTCTCTCTCTCTTAATCCCAACCCAACCCTCTCTCTCTCTCTCTCTCTCTCTAGAATATCAATCGCATCTCAGAATCTTTGGAAGCTTGGTTTTCTTTTCTTCCCGATGGCGAAGGACGAGTGGATGCGCACGGCGATGTCGGATGACATGCTGGTCGTGGAGCTGCTGGTGCGGCTTAAGCAGTCCCAGGCGGCGGCGGCGTCGCCTCTCAAATCTTCTCCTCCTTCTCAGCCGTCGCCGACGTTCCCGCTCACTTGGAGCGTGAGGCTGCCGAGGTCGAGGGCTCTCAGGTGCGACGCCGTCTCGCAGAGGAAACAGGGCGATGTCTCCACCAGATGCAGCCCGACCACGCCTCTCTCCTGGAGCGGCGCCGCCTCCCCCTCCGCCACCGCCGACGGATTCGAAGAGTCCAGCCGCCCCTCCAACAACCGCTCTCCCTCTCAAGCCAGATCCAAGGTTCTCCTCTCTTCCTTTACCTTCCCTCTCCGTCTTATCTTTTTCTCTTTGGTGGCGATGTGTCAGATGTACGGTCTCCTGACCAAGCGTCGATTTCTCTGTGTTGACCTGAATAGCGACCAACGAAGGCTATGTACTTGTCTCGCAAGCTCGTCAGTGAGTGGTAGAGTCTTTAGCCCTGTTCAGGTGTTAGGACTTTCTAGTTCTTCCGTACTCGCCGACGAGACATTCTTTCCTTCCTTCGAGAGGCAGTTTCTTTTTGCCTCATGACGATTTTGCCCACGCTCGATTCTCTTATTTACCTCGTCATCATCTTTTTTATTATTATTTCTTTAAATTTTCATAAACCGTGGCTCTGTTTTCAGATCAGGCATCCTTGTCGTACTTTCAGCTGGCGAAATACCCCCGTCAGATGAGACAAGGATAAATCCGTCTTTTTATGGGAGCCATCCAAATTTTCTCTGGCCGGATTATTGACCCGCTCAGTCGCCGACCGGCGGCGGGTGAGTGTTGGGAATTTCGTACGCACGGCGTCGTTTTTTGGCCTTGGCCCCTGTGACGAAAATACCCCGGCCTACATCGCGATATTGGGTTCGCGTGATGTCAGCAGATTGGAATCTGTTCACGTTTTCTTCTCGCCCCTTTTCCCGGTCACCTGTCATTCCTGTTCGCTTTCTAATTTACCGATTTACCCTTTACATCCCCAACGACGGAGCTGATACGATTACGGGGGGTAGTTACGTCAGAAAAAAATGGTTACTGTGTCAGAGCCCACTTTACCTTAAGCAACGGCCCCGAAAATTCCCTTATACGATCTCTCTCACGTTCTCATAATTTTCCTTTTTTTGATTTGACGAATTTACCATCCGCCCGAGGTAGAAGTTTTCCACTCATTCGGAAGGGCATTTCGGTCATAGAAATTCTTTTTTAGGTTGGATCGTGCTGACGTGGGGCCTACTCGAAAAGGTTGAGTGGGCCCCAAGGAAAGAGGCGGATGTGGGTTTGCGTTGTGTCGTTCGTGGGAGTTGCTTCCTTTTAGGTCTTTTCTGCCATTGAAAATCTCGTCGCCTGAGAGGTAATTCTCTACGCGCAGGTGCACCGGATCATTTTTCATTTTTATCTCACAAGTCCCTTTGTCCATCCATGGCCATTTTTTTCACTTTAGAGTTCGTTTAGTTAGATGATTCATTTTTTGATTTGAATCATATTTTATAATTCGTTATAGTATTTTTTTTCGTAAAAAATACATGTAAATTAAAAATAATTCTAATCTCATAATTATAACTAAACAGACTATTATATGAAATCGCTTTGAATCCCATCAACATCGGAAATTCTGGACCGTCGGAAATTCTGGACCGTCGGATAGGAGATATGGAATTTATTTGGATCCGTAGATCCGGTGGCGGTGGACGTTGGTCGACGTTACGCTGGTCATGATTAGGGCTCTTAAATTGAGGAAATATTTTAATTGACTTGTGTGTGTGTTCTTTTGAAAGAAGTTTGTGTTGCGATTGGTGTGTGGTTAGATTCCACGAGTTGTCAGCAAGCGAGCAAAAGCAATTATGTATTTATTTTTATTTAACTTATTTATGATTTTGGATGAGAGGAATGGCACGTGGGCATGTCACGTGACCCAATAGGATTTTTCTTTTTTTCATTTTTGAAAATTACAAAGATTGGATCCTCTCATGTGTTGCCACGTAGGTGGGTTGATGATTGAGGTGGGAGCTGAAGGGAGAAACGAAGAAAGCTTTGCTTAGCAAGAGGGGTTGGATTGAATTTTGCAAAGAAATTGACAAATTGGTTGTTTGGAATTGGGAAAGTATGATCCTTAGAAGAAGTGACGATAGAAAGAAGAGAGGGGCAAGCGAAATTAACCAATTATTGGAGGCTATCGGGGATGTTGGATTGGAGATAGTAAAGAAGGCATTGTAGTCTGTTTATTGGTGGTGTGGTGGCACGGGAATTTTTCATAGGATAGAAGTGACGTACAAGTATGGACAATATTTTTATTTTGACAATAATAATATACACTTTCGTGATTGCCCTGTGTATTTATCAATTTATTTATCTATTTATTGAAGCTGGGTAATTTCAGGATTGTTTCGTTGAGGGATTCGTATCCGATTCGAATCATGATTTATGGTTCGTTACAGTATTTTTTCTCATAAAAAATACATGTAAATTAAAAATAGTTATAATCTTATGTTTCTAATTTATGAACCAAACTTCTCCGAATTGTTTTTGTTGTTTTAACTCGGAACGTCGTCCCTTTCTCCTTCCTTTTTTTGTGCGTCGATAACGACATTCGCCTGTGACTATCCAGATGTGATGTAATCTGTAAATATGCGCCACGTTTAGTGAAGGAAATAGATGGATTTCGTTTTTGTTTTGTTTTGTTTTCCTGCACGTGTGGCTTGCACTGTTCCTTGTTGATGAAGATTAATACTTTTTGGATTGGGCTATATATGTATCCGACATGGTCGTTATTCGTTACAGTGATCTCTAAGAATTTTCACTTTAGTAACGGAAACCCAATTGGATTTTGCATCATAGATTCCAACTATGTTAAAGTTAATGCGAGCTTGTTGCTGATTTTGGACAGTATGTACTAATTCACTTTCGGATTGATATTTTCAGGGTATTGCCACAAATAATGAGTTGGCTAGCGCTATCACTACCAGCAGGAGATCAAGAAGAAAGAAGGTAGGTACACAAGGGCTCTTTTTTCGTTTCCTTTGTCTCAATCTGTCTACTGTAGTCATAGACAAATGAAATATAAGAGAATTTAGCTTTTATCATTCTATATTCTATTTGGAGCTTCAAATATGTATATAATTGAGAATCTTTGGCATTGTCCAGACATTTGCTGAGCTGAAAGAGGAGGAGAATTCACTTCTCAAGGAAAGGGTGCATTTGAAAAGGGTATAAATCGCGGTACTTTTTCCTTTTTTCTGCTTCCGGCTTGGTAGTTCCTTATCTTATTACTTGAAATTGTGGATTTGACAGGAACTAGCAAAACTGAGAGCAACTTTTAAGGAGCAGAGGGAAAAAAATGATAGCTTGAAGAGGATGAAGGTAATTCTAGCGTTCTTTATCCATTTGTGCTCCTATTTTCAGTTACTTCTCATTTATTTTTTTTCCCTTTTATTTGTTTAGGTTGTTCCAAAATTATTGATTGGTAACGTTTACATATCCAGATGATTATGATGCTATTCTGTCGTTATCATACATGCTGGTTCGTATGTAATGGAAATTAGGGTCAATATACGCCCTTAGTAATTCTGTCTTACTTTTTGCAGCTTGAGTTGCACGTGGATTCTGCAAAATATGTGAATGCAGATGGATTCAAGATGGCATCTTCCAGCCAACCGCAGGAGAGAATAGCCTCTACTTCCGACAATGTTCGTTCTACAATGCAACTCGCACACCATAGTAATGCACAATCAGATTCTTTTGATGAATCAAATACCAATTCGAACCGTGACGGTTTCTTCTTGCTACCTGATCTAAATTCGCTCCCATGCGACGAGGATTATGGTTCCGAAACATTCTATGGGTCAAGCTGATCAAACAATGTTCATTGTTTATCTTCTTCTCGCAATTTATACAGTCTCCGAGCACAATGAAGTTGATTTTTCTGCAACAACATCGCTGACACGCCCGAGCCACGTTCAGAAACACAACTAGAATATTCTGTGAAGTCACAGGTGTTGGGAACCAACTTACTGTAGTTCCCAACTTGGTTGCGCAATGGAAGCTAGTCAGTCGTAGAGAGAGTTTTGAGGGTAGTGTAGAGATCCTAACAAACGAATAGGATTGTAAAATTTTACTACTAAGTTATAGGTTCCTACTTTCCTCGGGTATTCTTTGGGGTAAACCCTCATTACTTCTCATTGAATTTATAAAGAACGCTAGACCTCTTATTGTATCATTCTTTGTAGCCAAATCCTAGTTGGACTCCTCTGTTGAAAAGGTTCTTGAGATTTGTATTACAATTTTGATCTGGCGCATCTTATTTTTATTATGTTTAGTGTTTGTTAGTCGTAAAAAAGAACAAGAGAACACCATATATAAGACGGAAAATTGGCTTTCAAACAAATTTGGAAATGGAAGTCTATGCAACTAGAAAATATTCAAAGCACTACTAAATTCATGTTACAATTTTTTTGGCCTTTTACATACATTATTATTATCATGCAAAGATTCGTTATCGGTTCGTGTTATGAACATTCAAAAGTTCTTGCCTAAAAAGTATTGGCATGAACAAATTGAATATCCTTGTAAATGGAAAATGAGTTATTTAGCCTAACCAACAACAAAAAAGAACAAGAAAAAAAGGAAAAAAAAAAATCATTCCCATGAACGAAAAAGGAATGATGGCTTAAATTATACTTCAAGTAGACGAGATTCTGTTGGGACTTTGAGAGGTCCCTCTCCAGTCTCCACTACCGAAAAGAGGGGTGGGAAAAGTAAAACGTACTCAAAGCAGCGATTATAAGAATAAAATATAATCCTAACTGTACTTGTCCTATTTGGCGACATTCTTCACGAGGTAATTTTAACGTCCCCGGTTAATTTGTTCGGAATATATATATATATATATATATGCGGCCGTTTGGTAAAGTTTTCGTTTTTGTTTTTAATTAGCAGAAAAAGAGAATTAGCTTTTAAACAAGAATAAAAGAATTATACGTTTGGTTGGTATATTCGTATCGTGATTTGAATCATAATTCGTGATTCGTTACAGTATTTTTTATCATAAAAACACACATAAATAAAGAATGATTCTAAATCATGATTTTAAATCCATAAACCAAACGTTTATATTAGTAAAATTTGTAAAGCCTTAGTAAAATTCTAATATAAGTTTTAAAATCTATTTAAAAATATTTGTTAAAAATCACAGTTTGTAACTTTTAACTAAAAATTCTTTTAAGAAGTGGAAATACTTTTAACAGATCATCTAAACACTTTTAGAAACATCAACTTTCAGAGTCAAGAAAGTAAAAACAGCTTTTAACAAGCTCCTAGTAAGCCATATACATAGACAAACAGACACGCCATAAAAATAGACAAAAGCTTGAAGCTTCTGTCTCTTAACCGCATTTGCCAATGGACGAGATGTACGAAGTGGTGGAGACCACCAAACCATCTTTAGTCCATATGTGGAGAAAAGAAATATATATATATATAGGTGTGAGGTAGGAGAGAATTGGGTCCCACAAAAACAATCAAATACTTTGAAACAAACAAAACTAGACAAACCCCAAGCATGATTCATTGTTTCTTTAGCCGAATGGAATCCCAAGAGAGAGGTCGCCAAAAAGACCCTCTTCAAACGTTTCCCTTGAAATTAATTATATCAAAACTACCACCTCAATGTAATGTACTTGACATGAAACTTAGAGCGCCTGAAAAAAATTATCAGAAGGAAGAACAAACGTGAAAAGACCATATTTCTATTGGTACATGTGGAGACTACAAAACTCAAGCGGAGTGCTACAGCTTCTCTTCAACGAGCTCGATGCAGCGGTACAGAACGAGTTCGACGGGGTTAAGAGTACAAACTGTGTCAACAGCAAATTGATCATAATCACTCTTGTTCTCCGCCATGATGCCTGTTACCAGGGTTCTAAGAGGGAGAAGCCATTCGTTGTAGGCCTTTTGTAAATTGCTCTTGGACAGCGCTTCTGTGTAGTTAGTTTTTCCTGTTTGATTTTGGGTTCAAATGTAATATTAGCAGATTACAAGTCAAACATGATCAATTAAAGGGAAATTTTGTATTAAGTAATGCTGATTGATAAGACAATAAGACATAAAATGGTATTGCTGTCACCAAAATCTTAGCTTTTATAGTTTTGTACTGTAATGTCATTTGTTACCTGTTGACTCTGTTATTAATACAAAGCGGTACAGGTTGAGAGCAGCTAGAACCTGTGCAATATAGTACAGCATATGTCATAACATCGTAAAGCTCAAAAAGTGTCAGATTGAGGCATCAGAAATGTGGATCGATTAAACTTGTTTACAAAATTGTGATTTGTATAAGGCGATTTCTTAAGCATGAAAGAGATGTAATTCACAGCACAACGGAATCATATACCTCACGAAATATGATAGTCTAAGCATGGAAGAATAAACTTTAACAGCTTGAAAAAGAGGGAATGAGAAATACCGCGTCACCATGCTCAGGAACGGTTGGGGGTCCTCCCTTTGAAGGCCTCAAAACGAACTCCACCAATTCGAGGACGCTGGCAGTCCAAAAGTGTGTATCTTGGCACGATTTGTTTTCTCTGTTTGTAATTTCATTATTTCTTCCCACTCCAGTTCTTTGGCAATTTTCCATGTGCAGCTCCCTCTTCAAAATATCTAAAAGGATTGCAGTCTATAAATTGTTGAAAACAAACACATTTAGAAATTTAATCTTGCTTCAATCTGACTCAAACGCATCTCAAAGTATAAAATTCATTGGAAAAACCAGCTTGGGAGTAGTTACCATGGAAGACGAGTCACTATTTGTGATCAGAGCTTTTAAAATGTCAAACCTCTGAGAAGCAGGAACGTCGGCAAGTATCTGGTTGTGATTGATGGCAAAATATGGAAGTACAAGGTTGTCAAATGATGCATATCAATAATCAATTTTTGAAAATAACAAATAGTTTATAACTTTTTTTTGTTTTTGTTTTTTTTAAATAGACAAATAAAAGGCTGCTCATAACTGACTTTTGAGCAGAAGACTGCCTTAAACTTTTCAAAACCTTACCCTCTTAAAAGCTTCAAAAGCTTTCTTCCTCAACTCTGCATCTGATGCATACATGATGACCTTTTGAACAGCCTGAAATATATTTTTAGAGGAGAAATGTTAGATTTATCTACCTTTGCCAAAAAAAAAAAAATAAATAAAAAAGGGATGAAAGCTAGCAGCTAGTCATGCAATACTGAATAAACTAGAGATGATCAGAATCAACCTGCAGAGCAACAAAAATACTAGGCATATAAGATGAGCAGTCGGCGTGTTCATCGTCATACTTCTGCGAGATATTTCCATCAATAATGCAAAGCAAGAATTCGATCGTGTGTTTTTTTAATTGCCATGGAAGATTCACAGAAGCAAGTACATCCTTTAACATCCCAATAGCTTGCCACCTTTTTGTTCGGTTGTTTTTAAGTTCGTCCTTGACAGATATCAAATCCTCCTTCGCAGCCACAACAGCCGCATCATAAATATGTCCCCAAATGACTTCAACAGGCAATAAAGAAAAAGGGAAGAAATTAAGCCATAGAGAATAAATCCTGTATGTACAAGAGAGAGAAATTTTGTATTTGCGGAAATAACCTGAAAGTGATGCACCGAGTTTGACATGGGATAGACAACTCATAAAATCATCTTCATCCTCTGAAAAGATAAGGGGAAAAATGGGGGTAAGAGCACAAATAGATAGCACAACTTTATGGCAGTAATATAGCAGCTGGTAAGAGCTCACCTCCAACAACAATGCTAGTCATTCTGTCAACATCAGACCCGGTTATTAAACCAAGATATGACAAACCACAATAAGGAAAGAAACTTGACAATTGTGTCACCGAGGGATGAGAATTAGAAACCTTGTAACACTTTCTGAATGAACCAAGAGCCTGCACAATCACACATGTTTACATTCTCAAAGTCCGATATATATTTTTTCTTAATAAAAAGAGAGAAGGGAATACAAAAAGAGCACAAACTGGAAGAATTGCAGCCGCATGATAGTAGATGAAAGCAAGAAACAGCCAAAAAAGGAACTTCAGAAAGATGAAGCAAAACCAACCATGACTTGCAGAACATATAAAGCAAGTAGAGAACGGAGCTTTTTGTTTACACCGCCGTCCTGTTGCGTTTATAAGAATATAATCAACACCTAACAAAATTTGCGGACTCTTGTGAACATCCTAATTAAAATCACATGAAAAGGTCAGACCAATTTCGTGCAAACTGCGTGTATTGAAGTTGCTATGCTCAGAGCTCCTTTGAAAAGATCCTTCAGTTCTGTATTCTCATCATCTGGCTCTGAAGAAACGACCTTTAAAACATTTAGGACAATTCTAACTGCCACTTTTACTTGCTCAAAGTGACGCCTTCGAATGGAAACAAGCACTGAAACACGAAAGGAATAACAAGAGACTCTCAGTAAACAGGTCTTACCAGAATAAGAATAGTAAAAAAAAAAAATTTGCAATTCAAAAGAACAACCTCCAATTCTCAAACTAATAAACCAAACCACATCTATTATTATTGTTATTATTACCTTTAGCAATCCCACTGAGAAGAGGAACAAAATAACTGGGAACCTTGATCATTTCACCGGAGGAAGCTAATGCCTGGTCCAATTACAATCCAATATCAGCAAAGAACTAGAACCAACAAAATTAAAAACAAAACACAACAACTATTAAAAAAAAAAAAATCATACGTCACAGAGTATGGAAAGCATGTCCCGTGGATTACACACTGAAACAAATCGGTCAATCACTTTATCAGCAATCTCCAAGCATTTTTCGGAGACGCCTCCAAACCTTGAAGCTGCTTTCGGCAACTCAAACGACAGCAAATCAACTGTCGCCTGCAAAAAAAAAAACTCTCTTAACCTTGAAAACGAATAAATACCCACAAAACAAAAAGACGAGGAAGTTCATAAAATGGAAACCTCGTCCAACGAAGGAGAACAAACGTAGTTGTAAACTTGCGAGAGAACTTCAAAGGCATTGCTTTTGGCATCTTCGTTATCTGGGTCTGAAAGAGAAACCTCGGAGATGGAATTAAGGAAGTTGATCAAATCTAAAACTAAGGTTTCGGACTCTTTTGGGTCTCCTCCCGCTTCAACTGACTACCAAATTCATCCAAAAAAAAAAAAGATTGTGATTCCAAAAACTCTGTTTGGTCGCGAACTCAGAAAAAAATAGTGGGTAAAAGCGCAATCTTACTTGGGATATTGAGTTCAGGATCTCCTGTAGACGAGTTTCGGAGTTCGACGACATGGCGTCGTGTGAGAGCTTTTGTTATTGCCGGGTGGGATTGGCAACCTATAATGCGAAAACTGGAATCAAAATCATTTTTTTGCAGAGGAAATTGTCCATAGTTGTCGGTCAAGCCTATTGTTTGGAAGCTGGGAAAACTGTTTAGGTCGTTGTGACTGAAATTCACTTCCTGGCTGCTGATGAACTTTGCCGAACAAGACGATTCTCAGTTCTTGTCTTAGGACGACGACAATATCTCGCTTGTCATTGTGCATTAAACGACACTAAACTTGAGCGACAAAGGGATATTGTCGTTCTTCCACATAAAAAACGACAGCAAACAAGGAGAGAGTAGTTTTCACGTCAAACGGCAGTACGCTTTGAATGTGAATCGACATGTCGTTTCTAAACTTTTTTGCAGCACAAGGGCGTCCTTTTTAAGCTAAAACAACAGCTAATTATAAACGACAAATAACCGCAGGCAACAAAAGATACTTGGGTTTGTTTTATGTAAATCGACGAAGAACTTTTTAGGTGACTGTAAACTTTGAACTTTTTTTTTTTTTTTTTCCTAGAAAAAAGATACATCGCGTTGTTCTCGCAAATGCGATAACAAAACTCCCTGAAAACAGAATCTAAAACGACAGATAACATTGAGAAATTTAAGCATGTAGTTTTATCTGAAACAAAACTCGTCGTTTGACCTTAAACGACAATAAACTCCGGCACCATAGCATATGTCACGACGAGACGGCCAACAAAAAAGGACAATTTTTCTGGTTAGATAACACAATTGTATCTTTATTTTAGACGACATGCAAGTTCAATTTTAGAGCTAGGACATGTACTTACCACTTTGGGTGTCAAAGGTCGACAGAAATGTACTGGAAAACGACATCATTATGTTATATTGTTCTCGTTTTTTTTTTCCTCGATATAAATGAGACAAAAATTTGTTTTTACCAATATATATATATATATATATATATATGATTGATCAGCCACATTTCATATATTTTTCTCGAGTTATTAATTTGAAATAAATGTACGTCAGCAAAAATAATGATGTAGTTATTTATTTATTTATTATTTGGGTGTGTTCTTTTTGGGGATGGAGTCTTGACAACACAACACTTTATTACACGACTAGAATTAGCCCACTGGGTGGAGAAATCGGAAGTCTCCACCGCATTACCTTAACACTTACTCGTGGTCGGAAATCTCCCCCCAGTTCCAGTTTCCTTCTCAACAAGTAATAACCATAACCAACTGTAAATATTCACACACGTGGAAATCTCAAATCTCATTTCTCAAAATGTCTTAAGAAATCTGAAATCCCTTCTCAAATTTCCTTCCCATCGTCCCTGAGCGAAACCTCCGCCGTCCGATCTGCCGGAGAATGGAGCCGGACGCGAGCATCGAGACGAGCAGCATGATCCGTGTGGCGGTGCTTCCGATCGGGGAGGTTCCGCCGGCGGTGATGCGCGACTACTCATCGATGCTGCTCCGCCACCAGACGATCCCTCTCTCCGCCATCAGCAGCTTCTACACGGAGCACCAGAAGTCTCCCTTCGCCCACCAGCCATGGGACTCCGGCAGCCTCCGCTTCAAGTTCATCCTCGGCGGCGCTCCTCCCTCCCCCTGGGAGGACTTCCAGTCCAACCGCAAGATCCTCGCCCTCATCGGCCTCTGCCACTGCCCTTCCTCCCCCGATCTCTCCTCCCTCCTCGGCCGCTTCAATGCTGCCTCCAAGGCCTACTCCTCCGCTCTCATCCATCGCTGCTTCGCTTTCTCCCCCGCCGATTCTCAGGTCCAATTCAATTACCGCTAATCTCTCTCGATTGCGAAAATATTTTGTTTCCTCGATTCTGTATTTCTAAAGTTTGGATTTTCATATATATATATATATATCTGTTTGTAATAATACATTTGCCGCTTTTTATTGCAAATTGTTACTAAATATATAACTTTACAATAGTAATTAGAAAATTTCGAATTTTTAAATGTTGTAGTTACTGTATAAGGATTTTTTTTCCTTTGATTGTGGATTGAGGTTTTTTTGGTTTGGCGGTGCTTGTAGTTAGAGGAATGCACTAAGAGTGGAGTAAGTTTGAATTTTTAATATGTATTTCTGACATTATGGTGCTTATTCTACTAACTATTACTGTATGCAAGTTTACAATTCGGATTAGAATTCAGAAATTGAAAGTTGGTCTACCAGGTGTGCCTGTTTTCAGAATATTCATATTTTATTAGTGTATCCTTGTTTGCTTTTGTGGTTTTTTGATTGTGAATCTGGATTATTGAGGGGATTGTTTTTTTTTTTTTGTGGGTGGTGTTTGTAGTTGGAGGAATGGAGTAAGAAAGGGGGGAATTTGATGCTGTTCCCGCCGGCAGACCGCGAGACGCAGGAGCTGCACCTGCAGACGATGATGCAGGAAATTGCTGCCGCGTTGCTGATGGAGTTTGAGAAGTGGGTTCTTAAAGCCGAGTCTACTGGGACTATTCTCAAGACGCCTTTGGATTCCCAATCTAGTCTCAGCTCAGAGGAGGTTTATGTCTAGGTGTCTTATAGAATTTGAACAATACATCTTAGTTCTTATAATAAATGCCATTTCTTGTAGCAAAGGATTGAAACTTGGTTGTTATAGTTTATGATTCTTTGAGTTAAATGCCGGGACTGAAATCTAACTGCTTAGCTGAAAATTGGAATTGCAAATGCCAGGTTATCAAGGCCAAGAAACGAAGGCTTGGCCGCGCACAGAAGACCATTGGGGATTACTGTCTGTTGGCGGGATCACCTGTTGATGCAAATGCACATTATACCACAGCCTTAGAACTTTCAAGGTTGACTGGGGATTTTTTCTGGTTGGCCGGGGCGTTGGAGGGCAGCGTTTGTGCTTTACTGGTAGCTTTTTGTTCTGTATATGATATATGCACACATTTTTTGAGTGACTGAATGCCCCTAGGATTTAGGCTGGGTGAACCAGTAACACATATCTATGAATAAATATGTTACTGTTGACTGGCATCGCATATATCTAGGTCTTTTTAAAGGCAATTCTACAGTTAAAACAATTCATGTGTGGCGGTGTTTTGTAACTTATTAAATTGGAATAGTCTGAATACAATGCCCTTGGTTTTTCTGACAACATGAATGGTGTTTCTCGTGTTCGCATGTTATCAGATTCGTTTCTCTTGTCTACCTCAAATAAGATATGTTTTGAATTACTCACGTATGTGTTTTTAGATTGATCGAATGGGCCAAAGGGATCCAGTTTTGGAAGAAGAGGTTAGATATCGATACCATAGTGTGATCGTGCACTACCGGAAGTCCTTTATACAAGAAAATGCTCAAAGGTAGCCCCTCTTGGTTGACATAGACATTTATACAAATAATAACTCCTAGATTTTGTTTTTTTTTTTCTTTTTTAGAAATGTTCATAAACTCGCGTTAGTTCATATATATTGACAGTTACTTATTTCTTATGTTCTTTGCAGAGTTTCACCCATAACCTTTGAACTCGAGGCTACTTTGAAATTGGCGAGGTTTCTATGCAGGTAAATGTTTACTTGGACCTTTTCTGATTCATCCGTATAGTAGTTTTTCTTTTTCTTTCAAGTTATTAACAACAGTTGTGTAGCCTGTTTTTCCAAACAATTGAACCTAGCTTTCTCTTTCACCCCTGACACGCCGCATTTTTATATCCATTTGCTGAGCAGCAATTACAATTTAAGTTTCTTCTATCATATGGCTCCAAAGACATAAATTTCTCTCTTGATTGTAACATGCCAATTTACTTAAACATTTCTTTCTTTCTTAATATTTTGTGCCGTTGGTCATATTCACATTTAAAATCATGAGATTTTTTTTTGGGACCAAATACACGAGTTATTTTGGTCGATTTTTTTCATCTTACATTTTGCTTTATTTATTTATTTATTTTCTCGTTTTTTCCAGAAGAGAGCTGTCTAAGGAAGTAGTTGAACTTTTGACTGCTGCTGCAGACGGTGCTAAATCTTTGATTGATGCCAGTGATAGGCTGATATTATATGTGGAAATAGCTCGTTTATATGGCTCTCTTGGCTACGAGAGAAAGGCTGCCTTCTTTTCAAGGCAGGTAGCTCAGTTATATTTGCAACAAGAAAATAGACTGGCGGCTATTAGTGCAATGCAGGTTTTGGCATTGACAACTAAAGCTTATCGTGTTCAAAGTACAGCATCTGTTGCCAAAAGTTCTATTGCAAAAGTAAGTCTATAAGCACCAAGTGAAAAAGAGTTTTCATTTTCAGTGTCTTCAAAAATCATATTCGTATTAAAAAGAATTGTTCGCTCACTTTATCTAATTATCATAAGGTGATGTTTCTAACTTTGTAATACATTTATTGTTAGTTGGTTCTCTAAAAATATTACCACTGACAATACCCTTTTATTTCATAGCACAAGTGTTGTAAATTGCGGGTTATTAACAACTTCTTGTCCTTTTTATTTTACTTGAAAACTCTACAGAAGGAAACTGGATCAGGTTATGCTGATAGCACAAAAATGCTGCACCAGTCAGTAGCGTCTCTTTTTGAGTCTCAATGGAGCACCCTGCAGATGGTAGTATTGAGAGAAATTCTGCTATCTGCTGTCCGTGCTGGAGATCCTCTTGCTGCCTGGAGTGCAGCTGCGCGGCTTCTTAGATCTTATTATCCTTTAATTACACCTGCTGGGCAAAATGGTCTTGCTAGTGCACTTTTGAATTCAGCCGATAGGCTACCATCAGGAACTCGCTGTGCTGATCCTGCCTTACCTTTCATTAGGTCAGTACATAAATCTTTTTTTAGAATTCCATGAATCTTTTATTTGTTATTAGCCAAATGGCATCAAGGTTTTTTGCTTTCTTGTATACAATCAAAACTAAGATTCTTAACTAACGGTTGCACTTTTTGTCTTCTGCTTTGTTTCTGAGATATGGCTAGATCTATAGTTAAAGCTATCTCTCCATGTGAATAAAATAAAGCTTTGCATGTTGTCAGAATGTGTATAACTCAATTGCTTTGTAGCATATTGAATATGTGCTTGCAACAGTCATGACTAGAGTGTATAAATATTTCTTTTGGTGAATGAAGTAGTCTCTGCGTAATTCTTTCACTACTCAATTTGAAGCTACAAATGTTGGTTTTGCATAAGAATTCTGAGTTTTTCAACAGTGTTTAATTGCCCAATTTGTTGTTTCAAGTATGGATACTCATGAGCTTCTTTGATATGTCTCCTTTCTGTGTTTTACTTGGTGTCGTCAGCACGATTGTTGTTCCTGGTTACCAAAAAAGTTTCCCAGGCAGGTCGAGTTGACAATAGGGATCAAGTTACTTTTAGAGTTCTATTTTATCATCAAATTAGTTATATGGGAGTCACTTACTCAATTGTCTTGATTCTTCCAGAGTCCATTCTTTTCCTGCCCATCCCTCACAGATGGACATTGTTAAGCGGAACACTGCAAGAGAAGATTGGTGGGCAGGATCTGCTCCTTCTGGCCCTTTTATTTACACACCATTCAGCAAGGGAGAGCCAAATAATAACAGCAAACAGGAGCTCATTTGGGTTGTTGGAGAACCAGTTCAGGTCTTGGTAGAGTTGGCAAACCCATGCGGCTTTGATTTGAGGGTTGATAGTATATATCTGTCAGTGCATTCAGGAAATTTTGATCCTTTTCCCGTTACTGTAAATCTTCCACCCAATTCATCAAAAGTGATCACCTTGTCAGGGATTCCAACTTCTGTGGGGCCGGTGACAATTCCTGGGTGCACTGTCCACTGCTTTGGTGTTATTACAGAACACCTGTTTAGGGATGTTGACAATCTGCTTCTGGGAGCAACCCAAGGTCTTGTGCTTTCCGATCCTTTTAGATGCTGTGGGTCAGGGAAGTTGAGGAACGTAGCTGTTCCAAGTATATCTGTGGCACCGCGACTACCCTTGCTGGTATCACGCATTGTTGGTGGTGATGGTGCAATTATTTTACATGAGGGTGAAATTCGTGATGTATGGATAAGTCTAGCTAACGCAGGTACGGTTCCAGTTGAGCAGGCACATATTTCACTATCAGGTAAAAACCAGGATTCTGTTGTCTCTTTTTCGAGTGAAACCTTAAAATCTGCCCTTCCTTTGAAACCTGGTGCGGAAGTGACAATTCCTGTGACCTTAAAGGCTTGGAGACTTAGTTTAGTGGATGCTGATACTGCTGGTGGGAAGAGTTCCTCGGGAACTGTAGTGAGGCATTCCAAGGACGGAAACAGCCCCGCATTGTTGATTCATTATTCAGGTACTTCATTTTCTATTGCATTTTTATTAGAATTGGCATATGATCTTCCCCCTCCTCGCCTCTTCCTGTTTCACCGTCAAGCAAATAATGCCTCGACATTTTTCACGAAATTTTTCCTTGTCAGTCACTGAAGCTCGCAGCTTCTGGGACTATTTGCAAAACTATGTATTGTTTTCGTTCTTGTGATCATAAACTTATCCTATATGGTTGTGATGAAAATAATGCTGTGTACAAAACCATAGTAGCATTAACTTATTAGTTCTCTACAGATCCCAATCTGACTTTAATTTATTCTTTCTCTCAGGGCCTCTAACAGATTCTAAAGACCCTCAAACAAATGAGTCTGTTGTGCCCCCTGGCAGGCGTCTGGCTGTACCTTTGCAGATTTGTGTCTTGCAGGGCTTGTCCCTTGTTAAGGCTCGATTGCTTTCAATGGAGATTCCTGCACATGTGGGTGAAGACCTTCCTAAATTGGTTCATGTGGATAATAGCTCTTCTGAAGGAACTATTAGCTCTAACAATAAGATGGACAAATTGGTGAAGATTGACCCTTTCAGGGGAAGTTGGGGACTTCGGTTTCTTGAGTTAGAGTTGTCTAATCCAACTGATGTTGTTTTTGATATTAGTGTTTCTGTTCATCTGGAGAACTCCAGCAAGGAGGATAGTCTTTGTGTTGACCAAGATGCTATCGGGCATGGTTATCCCAAGACGAGAATTGACAGGGATTGCTCTGCAAGGGTACTCATACCATTGGAGCATTTTAAGTTACCTATTCTTGATGCGTCCTTTTTTGTGAAGGATGATCAACCAGATGGGGTAACCAGTGGCAGAAGTTCAAGCTTTTCCGAAAAGAATACCAAGGCTGAACTAAATGCTTCGATAAAAAATCTCATCTCCAGAATCAAGGTTCGGTGGCAATCAGGTAGGAACAGCTCTGGAGAACTAAATATCAAGGATGCCATACAAGCTGCTCTCCAGACATCTGTTATGGATGTATTGCTGCCAGATCCATTGACATTCGGCTTCAGGCTTCTTGGAAGCATTTCGAAACCTGATGACCTTGGTTCGTTTAAAAAATCCACTACTCAAGTTCAGTCTCCTGCATTGAAGGGTTCTGTTGTGGCACATGACGTCACTCCTATGGAAGTCGTGGTTCGTAATAACACAAAGGACAGGATCAGGATGAGCCTTAGCATTACGTGCAGAGATGTAGCTGGAGAGAACTGCATGGAAGGTGCCAAAGCAACTGTCTTATTGGCTGGTGCGGTTCCGCTATCACACTTTCTTCAGTCAAATTTTTCAATCTTTCTTGTTTTTTCAGAAACCTCAATCATTTCATCTCTTTTTGGTGTTCACAATTCCATTTTTGAACTTTAAAACAGGGGTTTTGAGTGGAATCAGAATGGAAGTTCCCCCACTTCAAGAAGTCAAGCATTCCTTCTCGTTGAATTTCCTCGTCCCCGGAGAGTACACACTGGTTGCTGCTGCCATGATCGATGACGCTAGTGACATCCTCAGGGCTCGTGCTAGAACCGATTCACCTGATGAGCCAATTTTATGTCGCGGGCCTCCATATCATGTGCGTGTTGTTGGAACTGCTTGACTCTTTTTTTCACCTTACGGCATCGACTGGATTAGTTTCCATTGGATATTACTAGATTACGGGAATGCTGCTCGAACTAGACAGCCAATGCCAGTTTTTTTATTTGGCAGCAGCACGAGTCATGCATTGCCATTCTTATTGAATTTGCCAGAGAGCTCGCCCTCCATTTTGTTCGATTAAACCTAGTCCTGAGCATAGTCAATATTGCTAGAGCGTTTATCTATTGTAATATTAGTATATTCTTTTGTCTTGCAATATTGTGTCGTATTTAAGTTGTCGCCGGTAAATTTCGTTGCATTACCTTAATTGTTCTGTGAAACTCATCATTTGAGGTTCTGTTGCTAAAGATTATCTTGTCCAAAGTCTGCCTTTCCTGTATGCTGCGTCAAAAGTCCAGAGATCCAAAGTAGAGAATTAGAAATTAAGCCGCGAAAAGAAAAAGGCTCTTTACGCACATAACAAGACTTGAACATGGCAAAATTTTTGAAATATTATGAGAATAGCAAAATTTGATAGCATTAAAATAATGATTATATAATCATTTATAATAAAATGTGACCTTGTTAGGATAATCATTTTTGTTATTTTAATAATATTTTAAAAATTGTTAAATTTGAACTCAAGGTATATATATATATATATATATATATATTTTAAGGTAAGGGATATATGGGCTTACTGGACGCCTAAATGGGCCTCAACCGGTATTCGCTGTGACATAACTGTCAAAATATAAAAATCAAGTTCTATTTGTGAAGATTACCTAATATCAAGAGAAATTTGCAAATAATCTCGATAATTTCAACAAATATCAACGGCTCAAAGTCCAGATCAGTATATATATGGACTTAGAAGCTCTTTCTTAATCAATAAAAGATTCATGTTATCACTTTCTCCCTTCATGTATTAACTTAAGAGCAGCAGAATTCTAGTAGAAGGGAATAAGATAAATAGACGAGTTAAGGGATACATTTTCTAATTGTCTCCATATTATTTGGCCTGGCTAGAAAAGCTAAAACTCGATTATCTAGCACTGCCAAAGATATCCGAATTTGCAATCGATCATACTCTCAAGATAATATACAAATATTATGAAATCTTATACAACCTAACAGTTTTTTTTTTTTTTCCTCCTAATGCCATACCATAAAATTCTTCTACAAGAAAATAAAGGCTAACTACAAAATTTTCGAGCATTTTCTAATAATATAAAGCTCTTTTTTTTTTTTTTTCATAACTTAAGTTCTATTACTACAGTATTTTATCTTTAAAAAAAATTTCAAATTCAACAATTTTGCTATAGTATTTTTCTCTCACATACGCAATTCAAGTTCTTAACTTGAGTTGTGAAATAAACATAGATTTTCTACTTCTAATGCAATTTGGTGGACGGGAATTACATGGTCAATGGATAGGTTTATATCATACGATTGGAGCGTGTCCGTTGTGGACTTTTCTCACCTAAGCGTGTCCTAATTTGTGGTCACCTTATAAGATAGATATCCCTATCAGCAAACTAATAAATTTCTCTGATGTTTTTTGTACGAGGGCATGTTTTTCAAGTCTCGTGAATTCTACAAATTGGATTGATAGTTATGTTATTATTTAGTCGTTCCCTAATCCAAAAAAATACAAAACAAAAACAAGAAAAGTATTATCTATCAGTCGTTATTTATTAATGTGAACAACAAACTAGCCATTTCATTTGATAGGATGGACTCGTGACTTGTTTGTCTTCCGTCATTCTTAATGTCCAAGACAAGCATGCCTGAATTGGCTTGGATGTTGGCCTTTAGCAATATTATAACAACGATATCTTGAAATTCCATGATTGATTTTTTATGATCTTTTTTTGTTTTCTCGGAAAAGAAAATTTTGAGGTGCTAAAACGCTCAGCACCAACTAAATTGAGATAAAAAAAAATTTTGGGCTTTTTTTTTTTTTTTTTTTTTTTCCCCAGTATTTGTAAGGTTGTTCCTTAGAGGCAAAGAAGGGTTTAATTAGTTAGCCTTTCTGATGGTAGTTGGAAACGTAGGAACTTCTTACTATATGATTATATTGTTGGGAAGATGGAAACATGAAATTGTACTTTGAAAATGAAAGTGGGAAACACTGACCTAGAAAATGTGAAAAATATATATAACACATAAGACATTAAGCAAATGATTGAAACCCCTTCTCCTAATGCATGAAACCATTGAAAGCAGAAAATTCTAGGACACCAACTTGACATGTACATGAGAAAAATTTTGGTGATATATAATATAATCATGCATGTAATAGTAAAATAATTGATTGGAAAATAGCATTTGAATCATGAAAATCATCTGTCAAGATTGCAACGTTTTTTTTTATTTGCCTAATGCATCTTTCGGTATTGCTTTTGAATCAAGTTCAAGGGTGCAAAATTGGTTGCAAAGCGTCATAGTACTACACTTCACATTGAAGTAGAATTGAAATGTTATTTTCCAATTTTTTGTCCTTTTGTTTCCCTCATTAGCTAGTTAGCTAGGTTATGTAATACGAAGTTTAATTCCCCAAAGAGGAAAAAAAAAAAACAAAAATATTACTTAATTGAAATATTATGATATAGCATATAAAAGTAATTTTTTTTTTCTTTTTCTCTCTTGGGATGGTAAGAATATTCCATATATATTTGCTTAACTAACCAGCATTGTCATGAAAAGTCGTTATCTCTTTCCATATAGCTGACTTTAATTTATATTAGTATTATTATTATTTTTTTATAGGAAGATGATTTATTCCATACATTCACCAAGGCTATACCAGTTTCACATAAATCAACAATAAAAGCAATTATTTGTACGTATCACAGGCGTGTTGTACAAAATGGTATCTTCCTTTTTCAAAGGACTTAAAGTTATGATCCTTTCTATATATTCTTCCTGCACAAATTGTTTATATGTTCTGGAATTACTTTAAATTTGAGGTTCTCTTCCCATATATCAATCTATTCTCTATCCATTTAAAGTCACACATATTTAGTCAAAATCACAAAATATCTAACCCAAAAAGAACTATATGTAATTCAAATTTAAAAATGTTTTTGATAAATTGCCCACAGTACTCATGATAGGAATATACACAAATATTGTTCTATATTGGCACTGTTTAACTGTCAATATATTGATGGATTTTCTCGTGTAATTATTCATGATAAATAGTGAATAGTAATAAATAATCATACTTTGAAAATCTTCACAAATCATTGTGCCAACGAACACGTCCTTAAACGACTTGATCATATACTGGAGAGGAAAAAAAAAAGTTCTGAAAACTCCTAAAAGCTCCTGATCACCAATTTTCTTCACCATTTTATACTATTGACTATTCTTTTCACCTTCTAAAAGTCAAATTTTGTCTATAATTTGCCCTAAAGTCGTAAGATTGGCACCACAGTGATAATATTTTTTTCACTTGCAGTAACCAAAAATGGTATACAAATTACTTACCCCAGGAGAAATTTTTCAACAATTCATATGTTTCTTTCATGTGATCTATTCCTCTCCACGTGCGTACCTAATTACGATCCATATCATGATTTCATGGAAACAGGAAATATTCCCTCAACCAAGAAAATTAATTTTTTTTTTAATAAATGTACTTTCTCAGCGTTGAAAAAGAATGTTAAAAGGAAAAGAAAAGAAGAAGAAGAAAGAACTGTACGTCAGCGCACTGGTGTAACATCGCACAAGAAAAGGGCAAACAAAACACAACAACATCATAAAAAATTATGCTACGTTCCATGACATGTCGTTTGAGGCCTTTTTCCAGATCATGATCCATCAAATCATCATCGTTATCCTGCAGTGGGGTACTTTGGTGGTCGTTTGCATGCTCATCGATCCCCCAATAATCCGAATAATGAGTATTCACAGTACTTGTTGCAGTATATATAAATTTCTTTTACATAATTATAACATGAATATATCTATGTATGAACTAACTATGCGACCGATTAAGTTTTGTATAGTTTATAATAACTTAATAAAATTATATGATCCTATCCGATAAATGTGTTATGCGATGTTAGACCTTTCCATTTTATTGATGAGCCACACATGCAGGATTTCTTCAATATATGAATAATGAGAATCGATGACATCAATGATTTAAGGAAGAAGAAAAAATCACTAAACAAATTGAGATGATTTTTTGATATTGTACATATATCCATCTAGGTTTTACATGGATCGAATTTAATCTCTAGCTTATAAGTTACTTTATTTTTTTTTGTTTTGTTTTTTGTTTTCCCCTTTTTCGCTTTCTTATCTTTGATCTCTTCTAAGTTCTTGTGGTGGGGTTTTAGCACAGTGATGAAGAGGATAGTGGGGAAGTGGTCCATGCAAGAATTGATAGAAGTGTTTTTGTGGTCCATGAAGATTAGAAAAAAAAAAAAAAAAAAAAAAAAAAAAAAAAAAAAAAAAAAAAAGAAGAGAAGAAAAGAAAAGAAAGGCTTAAACATGAGGCTGAGAGTGAGAGGAGGCAAAGGAACATGAAGTAGAAAGAGGGTTGTACGGGACTAATTAAAGTCATTCAAGTTTTAATTTCATACAACAATCTCATCCTAGCTAACAGTACCACTAGTTTCCAAAAACAAATTTACATGCATGAAATGATCTGATATATATCTTGTCATTTGATGTTATTAACTGCTCGAATATCGTTTCCTGACCCAACACCCACACACGTATACACACACACAACAATATTATTGTTTTTTTTTGTTTTGTTTTGTTTTGTTTTTTTCTTTTCTTCTGTTTAGAAAACGAGAATGAGCAAAATTTAAATACGGAGGAGCAAACTACAAGTGGAATATTTATATATTTGGATAATCGATATGTGGTAATTAAGATGACACCAATTAATAAGTTAGGATACTATTAATCCTTTTATACGTAATATCTACCCTAAAGGTTGAAACGACGTTTGGAAGGGGGATTCGTGCCATGATTCGAATCATGGTTCGTGGCTCGCTACAGTATTTTTTCTCACAAAAAATACACGTAAAACGAGAATGATTTTGAATCCATAAACTAAACGTCCCCTATATATGGTTTTTTTTTATAAAAAATAAAATAAAATTCTACTTTAAGTGTTTTTCTTTTTCGAATTAGGGGTGGTTAGTGGTATTTTTTTTATATTAAAGCGTGAACGTAGATTTACCATTAGATTAAGCCTGTAACCACTTCCTTGATTAATTAATGGGTCCAAAAGTTTTTTTTTTTTTTTTTTTAAATTTCTTCTATTGATTGAGAAAAAATAA